AGAGAGAGAGAGAGAGAGAGAGAGAGAGAGAGAGAGAGAGAAACACCAGGATCTACCATCAGGAGGCACCATCCAACCAGCAGTTCCTCACTGTCCACTTATGACTTGGAGGCTATTTTTAGCCTCTGTGTGTAGGGGCATTGGCTATTTTTAGCTTTGGGTGGATGTAAGGGTATTTTAGTTCCTAATTAATTGATTGACTTGTTATCTTCCCCCAACTTTGAAGTGGGAGGTGGGTAAGATGGGGGACTTTGGTTTGGCTAGCTCCTCAGGGCCTAAGTAAATTTAAACCAAGGGAGGGTCCCATTCCTTAAGATAAACCAGGGTTGGTGCCCAAAGGACCACCAGAGGAAGGGCTCAAGCCTTGTCTCAGGGGCTCCTACCTCTGGGCAAGGGCTGGGGTTTCTCCAAATTCTCTCTTCAGGACCTAAATCCTGTAAGCACACAGCCATCTAGAGCCACGTGCCCACTAGGGCACCCTCACATAGTCGGACACCTATTAGCACCCCAAGATCTACTCAGGCTGTCTTGAAAGAAAGTCTGAACAGATATGCAGTAAAATGCAGGTGCAATCACCCAGCCTAGGCCTGAACAGGTAGCCCTTACTTCTGAAAGAGGGGCCCAGTCAAAGAGTTTCATGGGGGTCTCAAACCGTATGAAGAGGATCCTCTCAATCAGCTAAGCCAGCCAGTCTGCCTCTCTCCCTCCTTTTCTTTGTTGAAACAAAGTCTCCCTCTATAGCCCAGGCTGGCCTGAAACTCAGGCTGAGCATACTGGGATAGCAGGTGTATACCACCACATGCAGTTCAGCTAAGAGTTCTTTCGGGATATCTGAGCTTTCAAAGCAAACCAAGCAACAAGATCCCTAAGCTCCTGGATCCTGGTGAGGCAGACAGACACAATAAATCAGGAAATTACAGAGGTGTGAAAAGCCACAGCTCCAGAGAAAGCCAGGAGCACTGTGGGAGCTGCAGTTCTAAGCAGGGTAAAAGTTAGTTTGAAGGAAGTGAGGGTCTTGCACATGAGATGCATGAAGCACATCCTAGATGTAAGGAACAGCCTGTGCAAAGGCCCTGAGGTGGGACTTCCATTAACATGGTAGAAAAGTAAAGAGGGAAGGGGCAAGAGAGAGGGGGTAATAGGAAAGACTGTATGATACCCCAAGCTCAGGCTTTGGGAGCTGTGACAAGGGAGTTGCTCTGTTCATAGTCTGGGACTCCCCTCACCAGCACAGAGAGAGACAGAAAGACAGGCCTTCACCCTTGCTAGACTGGAGCAATGGGAACCGGATTGACCACTGCCTCATAGACTCCTGAGGCCTCGCACCTGGCAGAGAAACCACTGCTCAGAGAGGTGTACCAACCCTGCCTGTTCCAAGGAGTTCTGGGCACACAGGCAAACTCACATGTGTGCAAAGGAAAGACCACTCAACAATGTGCACACAAGCAGCTGCCCAAGAGTCTGCCCCTTGGCAAAACTCACCGAGACAGAATGGTCAGGACCTCCCTGAGCTCATAGGCCTGGACACATGGGATTCACGGCACGGTCACTAGCTGTATTCTGAACTCACACACTGAATGAGCACACACAGGTACAAGCAATGTGGGGAAGGACTAGACTTAGACTCATGAGGTCTTCTGGCTGTGTGAAGCCCCACCCCAACCCCAGGACCCCATTTTCAGTATTCAGTAGCAACCACTTGACCCCATCCCAGCGGGCCCCCAGCTCCCCAGCTCCCCTTCAGCATCCCCACCTCGGAGCTGGAGGAAGGGAAGTGTCTGGAGTCTGGAAATCAGACCCGAGGGAGAAGCCCACACAGAAACCAGAGCCTTCAGTGTCCTTGGCCACAAGTCTGGCTGGGGGTGGGGGATGGGTGGCAGGCAGGGACAGAGACTGTGAGCTCTGGGTCCCCATTGTAAGTGGTGGGGATGGGAGGTGGCTCTTGCTCCTCCACCTCTTCAGACACCTCTTCCAGAAACACCTGGGGCCTGCATGATCCCCTCCGCTTCCCTCTGTCAGATGCCCGTGCTGGGCCTGAAGATCTATAGGCTCTCCTGTCAGCTTGGTGGGACGGCCGAGATGCAGGTGGTACACAGCTCAAGTGAGGACACCACAGGCCAGGAATCCAGATAGCCCGATGCAAAGACTTCACTCCACCAAGGCTCCTCCCCCTCGTGCCCAACGGGGCCTCCTGAGCGCCCCCCAGGAGAAGAGGGTCCCCTGGGCAGGCTGGGAATAGAAGCCTGGCTTCATGTCTCGCGCCTTCTACCTCCTCCCTGCAGGCTCCGCAGCCCAGGTGCACTGATCCCAAGCTCTCCACCCTCCCCCAACCCTAGGCGCTGTCTCCAGAAACAGGCAATGGTGGTCCCCATGAATGGGGTTCAGGAAGGACGTCAGAAAGCAGGGCAGCCCAATAGAGACCTTCTTGGCGGTCACCAAGTGAGAGGGAAGATTAAGTATGCCAGAGGAGGGTCGGTTCCCACATGTGAGTGCACATGTATGGCTGTGGCTCAGTGCAAGGGTGCCACACCGCCAGCCACGGAATTAGTTCCCTTTTCCAGATGATTTTTCATCTCTGTAATTAATGGGCAAGTCAGATCTGAACGGCTGGCAGGCAAATTGCTAGTTAGGAAAATCAGGGATAATTTTCTCGATATGATAATGAAGGTTGTAGTCCTTCTTATTCTCCCCATTTTCATCCTACTTTTAAGTAATAAATTCAGCATTAATGGGAAGGGTGTGGGGAGGAAGGAAAAGTCACCTGCTACTAAAGCTGGGACCTGTCCCAGGCCCCTCCTGGCAAGGTCTCCAGCTCCTGGCTATGGCAGATGGAGAAGGGGGGATATGAGTGGAGAGCCTCCATGTGCACCCTTACATTCCTTGATCAATTTGGGGTGCCAGGACCCAGGAAGCAGGTGAAGGAAGGGGGCTACCAGGTTGTGGACCAAAACGAAGGCGTTGGGTCTGGGGTCGGGTTACAGACAACCTGCCCTTGGGGAGCTGGAAAGAGAAGCAGTACTTATGGCCTTTCTCCAAACAGAACTGGAGGTCAACAGGCACAAAACAGACATCCACCTCAGGTGCATCCCCCACTTGCCTCCCCACCGTCCAACTTCTCTCCACTGTGATTCCCACTCCAGTGGAGGCAGGAAAGCAAGCAGAGAGAGGGGGAGAGAAACAGAGATAGAGGCGGCCAGCCATCTTGGCGGCCATCTTGAACCCCTCCCCCCACTCCCAAGTGCACCACATGTTTGGATGTGGGAAGACAGACCCCGGCTCTGGGACCCGAAGAAGCCCGGAGGGAACCCGGCTCTGCCTCAAACTGGGATAGAAGGGACACCCACGCAGCTACCAAGGCTGGGGAGAGGGGAGAGGAGGTTGGGGGTAGGACCAGGAAGGTACTGGTCAGGATGTTGGGCAAGGATGGGGCTGGGAGCTGACAGACGGGAAGGGGAAGAGTAGGGACAGGGATGTGTGTGCGTGTGGGCTGCATGCAGGCGGGGCGCCGTCTTCATATAGGTGCCAGAGGCGCACTGGAGCGATGCTTTCTGAGGGCATTTTCTAGCCACTGCTGGAGTACACGCGACCCTCCCCACCCTCTACCTTATCGTGCGCGCGCGCGCGCGCACTCTCTCTCTTTCTCTCTCTCAGGTCCGGGACTTTTCATCCCAGGAACCTCAAATGGGATGATGACAACTGAGCCACACAGTTCTACCTCTGGTGAACCTGGGGGAGAGGAGAGCTCGTCCCTAAGGCCCCGCATCCCCCTGGATCCAACCTGACAGTCTCCATCCTTACTTAACCCCGTACCACCAACAGAAAATGCCGCCCTGCAGCACCCCCTCCTGCCCACGGCGCCCCTTCGGGCAGCAACCGGCTGGACACCCAGACAGACCCCTCCCCATCTCCCCGCGCCACTGCCTCCCAGAGAAAAACATCCTGCGGAACCAGTCCCCCGACACGGCTCCTCTCGGGGACTGGGGCCCGCGCGCAGCGCGCACACGCACCCTCTCCGCTCACACCCAGACACCTACACAAACAGGGCGCCAAGCACCCGCGCGCACACGCACCGGGGACACGCAGGCACCGCCGCGCTGCTTCCCCACAAAGGCTGGCACGCGCGCGGGCACTCGCAGCCGCGCGCGGGCACACTCGCGGTCCCCTCCCCCTGCGGGGCACCCTGCGGCCGCCCATCCGCACCTCAGTGGTCCCCGCCAGCCCCTCGCGGCCGGGGGTGGGGTGTCGCCCCCGTCCCTCCCGCCGCGCACACCTGGCCCAGGTGCGGCGTGGCCAGTGACTCCGGCACTCACCTGTCGGGCGGCGCTCCGGGGTCGGCAGTACGCTCTCCTCCTGCGGCTCTGCCAAGCCGGGACCCCCACCCGGCTCATCTCCCGGAGCCCGGCCTGGGGGGAAGCGAAGAGGGGGTGGCGGGACGACGGCGGCCTCGTGTCGCGCCCTTCCTCAGGCCCAGTACAGCCACCACCGATCAAAATTGAAAAGAAAAAAAAAGAATAGGCGGAGGCGGCCCCCTCACGGCGGCGGCTGGGGCCGGGGGCGCGCGGGTCTGCGCCCCTCCTGGGGAGCGAGGCGTGCAGGCGGCGGGGCGGAGGCGGCGTCAGAGCTCCGGGGGCTGGGGCGAGGCGGAGCCC